ATTTTGCAATTAAGCAGAAAGGAAATTAATGGAATGTGTTTTATGGGTTTTATTTTGAAATTTAGAGTCTGTAATAGTTTGAGGGGGAGCAGAGGAGATTATTTCAACTAGTTAAATTAAGTTGTTAAACTAAAATAATTTGATTGGTTCAAATAACTTCCTCTTCCCTCTCCTACCCTACCCCCCCTCCCCTCAAACAGTGTATTTGGGATTTTTTGTCCAATTATTGTGGTTGTTCATTTAAATTCTGTCCATTCTAATGAGGTTTAAAAATGGACTACAATTTTAAATGAACCAAACATTTTGATCATTAGGGGTTTTTTCTTCCCTAGGATTAGAGTTTTACTTCTCTCTACTAAGAGCCTTTTTGTGATGCTGGCAATCGGAAACGTGGAGTGTCTGTCATTTGGGCTTGGGCTTCTGCTAGGATCCTTTCCTTTCTTTCTTGTTTTGTTTTTGTTTTCGTGCTTTCCTTGTTGCTTTTTCTTTGAGGACCATGGAGGTTGGATGCTTGGAGTCTTGACAGGAGGGGCTGGAGGACCCAGTTGTGGCTAGGGGGAGCCAGATGCGCCTTTCAGCGGTGGAAGACCATGCTTTGATGTTGTGGGCTTTGGAGATGATGTTTGGAAGAAGGGAGGGATTGAAACTCTAGGATGTTGTGGGGCATGTCCTCTCTTGGAAAGAATTCTTAATGCCAACAATGGAGTGGGCCATGACAATTGAGAAGTCCATGCAAGATGGCAGGGGTGAGGGGCCACTAGAGGGGTTGGAGAGTTTCTTAGTGATGGAGGTGGTGTATGGGCGCTGCTTGACTGATACTAATGTGAGATTGGTGTGTGGCTTGTTCTCTGGTGGTTGCAATGGAGGTGGAGTGGCTGGAAGAGGGGCTGCAATGATGGTTGGTGGTTGCGGTTACTACGCTAGGTTGGGCAGATCCGAAGCATGCATTGAAAGGTTTTAGGTTTTTTTTTTTTTGTTTTTTGGGATAAAAGAAGGTTTTAGTTTTTGGATTGTGCCATATTCCCCTAAAACTCAAGGGATGTGGCAGATTTGATGGAGTGCTCTTAACTATTGTTGAGATGTGCTGTTATTTCGAAAGTAAGGATAGAAACAATAGGAAGATAATTAATCTCACTTAAACATAAATCATGCAAGTGTCTTAGTGCAAAGGAAAATGATTTAGAAATCATTTTTATGTATAACTTCCATACAACCTTATATGTCATATGTTATTTAATGATTGATTTATTAAATTAATGTCTAGTATTGAAATCTGGGGTTCTACCAACTCTGTTTTAAACTGACTTCAGTACTTCTAGAATTTGCTTAACCAGGACATCTAGATGCAATGGTGGTGTTCTGACTGTTCTTTGTGGGGAATTAGATCTAGGGTTCCATTTTGATGTGTGCCTTATCCAAGGACAATATATGATTATGGCCACATAAAAGAGGAAAAAAGAGGATACAAGAATTTGGAGAGGATAGGCTGTGACTTTGGCAAGACATTTCAGTGGGAAGGAACCTTTTTATTTGCTCTCTCCTTTGTTTTGGCATTGCTGGTGTAGTTACTCAAAAGCTCTAGACGTTCTGAGTAGCTTTCTATGTTACAAGAATTTCTTTTTATGTGCTTTCCCCTTTGTTTTTGGCATTGCTGGTGAGTTTACAGCCTAGATAACTAGTATAAATATATGCCTTTTCCTCTTCATGGTATATATAGATTTTTTTTTTTTTTTCTAAATTATGCACATATTTTACTTTCATGTGTCTAATCTACCTTTTTGTGTCAAGCAATTGTTGCAGGATTTGACGAAGTTCATAGAAGAGAGGGACAAACATCATGTGAAGCCAACACAATATCCAACTCCTTCAGATGAAGGAAGGCACTTAGAAAAAGAAATTTCAGCTGGTAATTTGGATGGTTATGACTCTAAGGATGAAAATGATTCTAGTAAGAAAAAGAAGCGTGCGGCTCATTCAGCTCCAAGTGAACGTTGTTCTGGCAAGGTTCCTAAGTTTGCGTGTCATGATGCCAGAGCTGTTCAGGTCGTTGATCCTCACTCCATTGCTAAATGCCTTGATATTTTAAAAACCATGGGAGACATACCGTATCCTATCGTACAGAAAGCAACAGCTAAATTTAAGTCACCTGATGAAAGGGAGATTTTTGTTGGACTAACTGTAGATTGGAGAAAGGAATGGGTCAAACATTTAGAGTGATGCTTGAAGAAATTTTTCGAGTTATATTTACCCTTTAGGAAAGAATCTCTTTTTTTTTTTTGATCAAAGGAAGCATCCCTTTTTTTTTTTTTTACGTCAGGAACTATTTATAGTATATTAATTATACATGCTACCTACTGTGATGACTTTGAATTTTTTTTGGGTTAAAGCCAATTGTAGTCTTACTTTGTGAAAATGTTCATTACCATCCCTCTACTAAGGAAATGTTCAATGTCATCCCTCTATTTTTCTTGCACCATAAATGTTATCCCTTTACTATCCTTTTTTTGTTCAATGTCATCCTTAATTGGATGTTATTTAATTTGGTGTTAATTTTGATTGCTAATTGTTTAACGGTCAAATATTTAATTTTTATTGATGAATTTTTTTAGGAACACATATTAATGATATTTTTTTTAATAAATTTGTATAAGAAAATATAAAAGTAACATTAATTTTAGTGTTATTGTCACATAAATAAATTTAATTAGATAATTGATAAATTAAATATTACTTTTTAGTTTTTAAAAATTTTTAACCAGTACCTTAAAGATATAAATTAAAATAACTTTTAAAATACAAATTAGAATAACCTTTTGTTTATTAATTTTCACAAAACCGTTTAACATCTAGACTTGAGCATTTTTCCTTCGTCACTAATTAAAGCAATACAATAGAAAATTATTTGGATTGGACTAACCCTGAGATCTATAGCACAAGTTAACTTCTATTAATTAATTTTTTATTCACTACAAGAATTTGTTAACTCTTTATTAAAAAAATATATTTATAAGACCAACTATCAAAAATTAAAAATGTAACAATTTAATTCCAAAACTTTAAAAAATAAAAAAATTAAAAACTTAAAAATAATTAGTAACTGACTTTATCACATATATGAGAACAATGTTAGATATCTACAATTAGATTGAGTGATTAACTCAATTTAATTAAGATTAAAAAAATTTCTTGGCTATATTTTTCTAGTCTCTTAAATTTTTTATCTTAATTCAGTTAAGAAATTTTCCTTAATTTCAATCAAAATTCTTCCTCCAAATTAAGCTAATAGCTCGATTTGATTATAAATATCTAATACTATTTAAGTATATGTGAAAAAGTCATCTATTAATTCTTTTTAATTTACTAATTTTTATAATTTTTGAACGTTTATAATTAAATTGTTACATTTTTAATTTTTAATGATTAATCCTATAACTATTTTATTCCAATTTTAACAGAAAATTAACAGATTCCGTTAATTTAGGTGGTAAAGTCAAAAAGAATAATACATAACCAAAAAAAATAAAGAAATCGGTCCCACTAGTCTCACTAGGTAGATAAAAAAATTAATAAACACATGGTTATTTTAATTTGTATTTTTAGGGTACCGGTTAAAGGTTTTTAAAAAATAAAAAGTAATATTTAATTTATCAACTGTCTAATTAAATTTATTTACGTGACAATAACACTAAAATTAATATTTACTTTTATATTTTTTTATACAAATTTATTACAAAAAAAGTATCATTAATATGTGTTTTTAAAAAAATTTATAAATAAAAGTTGAATATTTGACTGTTAGGTAATTAACTATCAAAGTTAACAGCAAAATGGATGGCATTCAAGTAAGGATGACATTGAACAAAAAAAGGATAGTAGAGGGATGACATTTATGGTGTAAGAAAAGTACAGGGATGACATTGAACATTTCCTTAGTAGAGGGATGGTAATGAACATTTTCACAAAGTATGAGGACTACAGTTGGCTTTAACCCTTTTTTTGTTTGTACGGTAATTGATTTTTATTTGTCGCTGGTTAGGCATTAGTAATGTACTGAACTTCAGAATAAATATGAAAGTATAATAAAATTAGTTAAAACAAAAAAAGAGTAAAAAAAAAAAAAAAACACACAGACACGGACAAACGAACGAGGTTAACCGTTTTAACGCTTGCAATTTCTCCCTCCTTATTTTCCTTTTCTAGTAGATCTAATGGTAAGTGCTGCATCGGAAGATGGTTCCTTTTCTCAAACCCCTCCTTTATTTTTCATATGGTTTATGATGATGAGCTGAGATATGGTTTTCGTTTCTCAATCCTCTTCACATAATGTTGAGATTTGAATTTAAGATCTGAAAACTTAAATTCGTAAACACTGAAATGTTTACTGAAGGTCATTTTCATTCTCTAAAAACAATTTCCTTTATGCATTTACAAAAGACCAAAGGTCAAGTTACAGAATGGAAGGAAAACTGCTTTCTACAGATGACAAATGGAAAATGTTTTCCTTTTTTTTTTTTTTTTGCCATGTTTTCCTGCACTAAACACGCGCTGGTAAGTGGTTTTTTGTTCAGAGTACACAGAAAGGCGGTTTTCAACAAGATTTGTCTCCTCAAACTTAAAGATACAAAGCCAGACAGCATCAGATTTACACATCCTTTTCTCTTGACTTCTCTTTCACTTTCCTTGTTTCTTGACTGTAACATGATACAGTATTCTTCCTTCTATCTGTATTTATATAATAACATCTCAACTATCTTATCTAGTATCTACAAGGAGAAAAAAAAATAAAGGGTTCTGCAAGAATACAGATAAGTAGATAAGTACAGCTGGTCACCAGAACTTGTTCAGGCTCAGTGTTCTGTACCGCATCCAACATAATTGCAACCTAACTATACTTTGGCACCCTTCAGCACTGAAGCTAGACCTTCGGCACCCTTTACTTTTACCCTGCAAACAACACCGGGAGTCATTTCTGGTAACAATTAGGCAGAGACTTAAAGATGGTCATTGTGACAAATGGCTAGTTATCTTATACAGTTGAGGTTTACCGTAAAGGCTAAGCGTCACTTCGAACTTCTTTGGCATGCTGATTGTCAATTGGCATGTACTGTGACATGATAGCCATGTGTCACGGGGAGAGACTAGCTCCGATGGCACTTGTCTTGGAGGTGGAATCTAGCTCGACCTCGTGCGGCACTTAGCTCGGAATTACCCTCATAAACCCGAACCAAGTCAGCCTTCCCCAATGCTTGGCGTGGCCCTCGTACTGGGCTCGAGGTTAGCAACACGTGAACGAAGGTAGGAAGTTGGGAGAAGAAGAGAATTTATTCAAATCGCAAGGGAGTGTACAAGAGCATGAGTACAAAGCCCCTCTCTACACTCACTCACCTAGCAGCTCACTCACTCAGGCTTGGCTCCTCTTCTTTTCTTCTACTAAGGCCACCCCTATTTATAAAAGAAGTCTGACCCAAGAGTCCTCTGCAGGTGAGCCTCGAGAACACTCCACACAATTCCCTCATATTTACACTTGCTAGAAGCTTCTCCACTCTCCTTCCTAACCTAACCTAGAATAATCTAGAACAAACCCCTTCTAGAATTATATACAAGGCCTTAGGAGTAACCCAGGTCGGGCTTGGCCTAACAAGCCCATCCAGACCCCTGTCTGATACTGTTCCCGCGCGCCCAGCAGCTTCTAGAGAGTTCTGGTCCGCTCCAGTCCGCTGCAAAGGTGTCGACACCATACCCACGTGTATTTCTCGTGTGTCGACACTTCTTCCACTGTGCGCATGGCACACTATGTGGACGCCCTTGGTTGCTCTCGCGCGCGCATGCGTGTCTTGACCGCAACCCCATGTCTCGGCCGTGGCATTGACACCGCCAACTCATGCCAGGCCGGCTTCTTGAGCGTCCCATGTCGCGCTTGCTCCCACACCCGTGCTTACACTTGAGCGCCCCAATGCCTCGAGCCATATCGCACCCCTGCGTGCCAGCGGCTCGACCCAGCTTGCTCGTGCGTGCACCCGTGTCTCAGGCCAGGATACTCTCGCGCACTCTCGCATGTTGCCCTTGACTGCTCACGCATGCTCCCGCGTGTCCCGTTCGCAACTTCATGCCATGGCCTCGGTATCGACGCCTCTGCTGGCAAGGCCCACTGCGTCTCGAGTGATCCACCTTGCGCCTGTGGCCCCGAATGCGTAAATGTCGTAATCGCAACCCCGTGTCACGATACCGACACCCTCGTCCAGCATGCCCGCATCCATGCTTGCGCTTGCGCTTCCACTGGCGCCCATGCCAGTGCTCTCACTTGCCCCCGTGTCTGCGCTCGCGCTCTGCGACGCTGCATGGCATGCCCCTTGGACGCTGCACACACCCTCTGTGTGCCCGTGGCTGCAGGTCCGTGCCATGATGCCCTCGACTTCGGCCCCCAAACTTGCGTGCCGTGACACATATCTACCATAAGTATATTGTTTCTCATCAAATAAACGGCTAAAATTAGATCGACAGTCAGTCCATGCAACATACTCTATACATACTCAGAGACTGTATTTGCAAAATATATATCCAGCCAGGCCAGCACCCATCACTACAACTACTATTACAATGGAGGTGAGGAGCCATCCGAATCTTGATCCACCACGTTCTATCAGATGAAATGCATGACAACAGATATAAGGAAATGGTTTTTTACAGATAGATTAGAACTCATATTCTGACTGTATATTGATAATAAATGTAAGCAATGAAGTTTCTTGTTGTCCTACCAAACACCAATACAAACATCTTGTTCCTTTATATAGAGACGATTGCCCTTTCACTTCCACTCGTACCTGCTCCAAGTGTTCTTACAGGAGCAACCATCACACTGACAGGCAAGACCTTCACTGCATTTATTGATATCTAAAGAAATTAAAGTTAGTAGATAGAATTGATGCAATTCTATGAAAGGACAGGAAACTAAAAGAAAGCACTTCAAATATTAATGAACTTATTAAACTGCTTTTCAGCAGTGACACTAGAAGAAGAAAGTGTTGAAAGGATAAACATGCCTTTAATACTCAGTTCATGTATTTGGTAGGAATAATATTTAATAATGTATCTAGAAGAATGGGATTCATGTATACCAGTTAATTTGGGGGAAGAACCAGTGTTCATGATTTACCTATAAATAACTTTGTAAGTTCTCATTTTTAATGAAGTCAATTCAAAGAAATATTGTCTCCAAACCTTCCTCTCTTCCTTTGTAAAATCCTCCTAAATCCATTTATATCCAACAAAGTGGTATCAGAGCACTTATCCAAATGGCAAGTGGGAATCTAATTTCATTGCAGGTTCCAAAATTCTCAAAAGAAAAGTTTGACAATTGGTGCATCCAAATGAAGGCCATACTCGGTGCACATGATGTGTGGGAAATTGTTGAGAATGGATATGATGCTTCTCAAGACATAAGTGCTCTTACACAAGCACAAAAAGATCAGTTTAATAGCATCAAGAAAAAGGATCAAAAGGCCGTTTCTCTCATTCACCAAGCATTGGATGAGGTTACCTTTGAGAAGGTTTCAAATGCCACCATAGCAAAGCAGTTGTGGCAGAAGCTTCAAGCTGCCTATAAAGGAAAAGAAAAGGCAAAGAAAGTTTGCCTCTAAAGTTTGAGAGGTGAATTTGAAGCTATCCAAATGAATGAGATAGAAAAGGTGTCAGATTATATTTTGAGGGTCATGGGGATTGCTAACCAGATGAGAAGGCTTGATGAAGAGGTGACTGATTTAAGGATTATTGAAAAAATTCTTAGATCAGTTATAGAGAAATTTGATTATGTGGTGACAGCCATTGAAGAATCAAAAGGCTTGGAGGACATGACTGTTGAGGAGTTAAGTGGTTCACTTGAAGCACATGAGGAGAAGCTCAATAGAAGAAAGAAAGAGCCGGTGGAGTAGGTTCTACAGTCAAAACTTTCTCTGGGTGATAAAGAACAAAAAGGAGGTGCAAGTCAAGGAGGACAAGGTCATGGCCGTGGACACAGTCGTCGTCGAGGACGTGGAAGAGGAGGAACAAGTGTCCAAAACACTGATCAAAGCAGAGATGAAAATTCTCAGTTCACCTCTTTGAGAGACCGTGGCAGAGGATGATCAAGGCTATATCAGAAGAGGTATGACAAATCCCAAATTCAGTGCTACACTTGTCATAAATTTGGGCATTATTCATGGGAATGCAGATTTGGCAACAATGTGAAAGCCAATTTCTCTCAAGATGAAGATAAAGAAGTTAATGAAAAGGTGGAGACAACTCTCTTGTTGGCCTGCAAAGAGATGAAGAATGAAGACAAGCACTCCTGGTACCTTGATACTGGAGCAAGCAACCACATGTGTGGAAACAACAAGGAAGTCAATACTATACTGGTATGCGTACCAGTTTTGTTACTGGAATGATACGTACTGAATACTAGAATTTTTCGCGTACCGTTTCGGATTTATCGTTTTAAATATATATTTTTATAAATTAAATATCAAATTTTAAAATAAAATAAGAGATACTAATATTTAAAACTATTATATTCCTATAAACTAAAAACACGTTTAAAATGATCAATTTTAATCCCTTAACTTCTAATATATGCATACTTTTCGTCCATCCATTTTAAATTAAGGAATTAAAAAAGTGTGTATTTAGATAAATTTAATGGAATAATTGATAGAAGGACTAAAAAAAATATGAAGAATATACTAAAAAAGTACATAAAAAAGCTAAATGATGAAATTATGTAAAATATTAAAGTTGAGGACCAAAAATGAAATTTACCATTTTTAAATTTGAATTGAATTGTACCAGGCAATTGTACCAAAAATGAAAGAATATCAAGGACAGTTGGATGCGAGAATAGAGGAGAGATTTGCGCGATTTGAAATTGTAAAATAAGAAGCCGCCCTAGCCAAAACGACATCGTTTTGGTTAGGGAATCTTTTTTGTTTTTTAAATTCATGCATAATGTACCGGTTAAATTTCGATGTATTGGCCGGTACACGAAATTTCAACCGGTACGTCGAAATTTGACTAAAATTATCGAATTTTGACCGAAACAAAATTCTAACTTATTCCGTTTTGATCCACCCCAAAAACTGGTATGTATCGGCCGTACCAGCCGGTACGATACGATACAAACTTCCTTGGGAAACAAAGAATTATTTGTGGAGCTTGATGAGAAAGTTGGTGGCAACATCACCTTTGGAGACTCCTCCAAAATACTAGTGAGAAGTAAAGGTAAAATCCTAATATGCGTGAAGGATGGAAATCATCAGTTTATTTCAAATGTTTGTTATGCACCAGACATGAAGAGTAATATTTTGAGTGTCGACCAACTGTTAGAAAAGGGATATGCTGTATTCACAAAAGGTTACAATTTGTAAGATTGTGTAGGAAACTTTTGATTGCCAAAGTCCCAATGTCAAAGAATCGTATGTTTGCTATGAAAATACATACAGATGTCGCTAAATGCTTAACATCTTGTTATAAAGATTCTTCATGGCTGGGGCATTTGAACTTCGAAGGACCTAAGGCTATGGCTAGCAGAAGAATGGTGAAAGGTTTGCCCTCGGTGAATCAACTTGATCAACTTTGTGAGGGTTGTCTTTTTGGTAAACAATCAAGAAAGAGCTTCCCAAAAGAGTCTCAATCAAGAGCTACGGGCCACTACAGCTAGTTCACACTGATGTTTATGGGCCGATCACCCCATGTTCTTTCGGTAAGAACAAACACTTTCTTTCATTCGTTGATGATTATAGTAGAAAAACATAGGTATATTTTCTTAAAGAAAAATCAGAAGTGTTCAAGTGTTTCCAAAATTTTAAAGCACTTGTGGAGAAGGAAAATGGCTTTAAAATCCAGGTGTTGAGATCTGACAAGGGAGGTGAATTCATTTCTAAAGAATTTCAAGAGTTTTGTACTGCTAATGGAGTTCACCATTTTCTTACTACTCCAGGATCACCACAACATAACGAAGTGGTAGAAAGAAAAAACATAACCATTCTAAATATGGCAAGAAGCATGATGAAAACCAAGAAGATGCCAACAGAGTTTTGGGCTGAAGCTGTAGAGTGCGCAGTCTACTTGCTGAACTGCTGCATAACAAAAGCAGTTGATAATAAAACTCCAATTGAATTATGGAGTGGAAGAAAGCCCTCAGTCCATCACTTGAAGGTGTTTGGAAGCATTGCACTTGCCCATGTTCATGATGGAAAGCGTATTAAGATTGATGATAAGTGCAAGAAGTATGTGTTTTTTGGTTATGATTATAGAACAAAAAGGTACAAGCTTTATGATCCGGATGGTGGCAAAGCAGTCACCGGTAGAGATGTGGATTTTGATGAAGAAGCTATGTGGGATTGGAAATCTCAAGAAGAGAATTATGAATTTCTTCATTATTTTGCAAAAGAAGATGATGAAGAAGAAAGACGAGAAACCATTACTCCCCCAGCATCATTGTCTCGTGGTGAAATTTCATCCCCAGAAGGAAGCTCAAGTGAAGGGCTATTGCGAACAAGGAGGCTTAGTGATATATACCAAGAAATTGAAGAAACTAATGATGTTACACTATTTTGTCTTTTTGCAGATACTGAGCCTATTAACTTCAATGAAGCTGCCAAAGATGAAAAATAGAGAAAAGCAATGGACAAGGAGATGAATGCAATATAAAAGAATGATACTTGGGAGCTAGTCATCCTTCCTCAAGGACATGCTACTATCTGAGTGAATGGGTGTTCAAAGAAAAGAAGAATTCCAAAGGAGAGGTGGAAAGATATAAAGCAAGCTCATGGCTAAAGGCTACAAGCAGCAACATGGCGTCGACTATGAAGAGGTTTTTGCACCGGTAGCTCGTCTGGAGATGGTAAGGTTGATACTTTCTCTAGCAGCTGAAAACAAGTGGAAGATTTTCCAAATGGATGTCAAGTCAACCTTCCTAAATGGCTCTATTGAAGAAGAGGTGTATGTTCAACAACCTCTCAACTATGTTGTAAAGGGTGAAGAGAACAAGGTGCTTAAACTGAAGAAAGCTTTCTATGGCTTGAAACAAGCTCCAAGAGCTTGGAATTGCAGAATTGATAGATACTTTCAAGAGAATGGCTTTGTCAAGTGCCCTTATGGATATGCCCTCTACATAAAGGTGAGCATTGGTGGAATTTTAATTGTTTGCCTATATGTAGATGATCTAATCTTTACAGGTAATAATCCGAGGATGTTTGAAGAATTCAAAAGGGCAATGAGCAATGAATTTGAAATGACAGACATGGGACTCATGTCCTATTATCTTGACATAGAAGTGAAACAGATGGAGGAAGGCATCTTCATTTCACAAGAAAATTATGCGAGGGAGGTGCTTAAAAAGTTCAACATGAGCAATTGTAAACCAGTAAATACTCTAGTTGCCTGTGGTATCAAGTTGTTCAAGTTTGAAGAAGGTGAAAGTGTGGATGCAACTCTTTTTTAGAGTTTAGTTGGAAGTTTGAGATATTTAACTTGCACAAGACCTGATATTTGGTTTGGAGTTGGGCTGGTTAGTCGATATTTGGAGGCTCCTACAACAGTCCATGATGAGCTAATTCCACTCTAGCGAGTATACTAATCCATTCAAGTAATATGATGATAAAAATAGAGTATCGTCTTACAAAGACAATAGACTAATTAAGTACCAAAATTAACCAATTCTAATTTTATTTGAACAATTAAAATTAAATTATTTAAATAAACTAAATAACTAAATTAATTAAACGAAAACTAAATTGACTTTAAGTAACACCAAGAGTTAAAATTCTAAAGCATCTGATTTTACCATAATCAACTAATATAAAATTTAAATTAATATACTTCTAAGGTATTTATTATTTATGTGACAACGAAATTTCTTATCATATCTGATATACTTTCTCAAGTTATATCAAACCTATCTTCACCTATTAACCCACTATATTTTTATGTGAATTTAAATAGATAAAGATGTATTATGTTTTGTGAAATTTCCTAGTTTATGTAGAAAGTTAAATTCACTTATCACTAATGCTACACGAATAACGTTGGTCTATTTCTGGCTTTCGTTCAATTCATGGTATATAATATTAGAAGTTATTGCATAAAATCCCCTCTCGGTCTCAATTATGCTCTCCAAATCAATTTTAGTTGTAGCCAATCACTAAAAAGCATTAAGAACAATAATATATACTCTACATAAAATAATAAATCTTGAAAGTATAAAAATCATAAAACTCTATATTAAATTGTTTAGGCTACATCATAACCTTAGATGGCTAAATCAGTTCATAATTAAAAAAATGAAAATCAATAATCCCATGATGAATACATGAGTATCCAACATTATAAAATAAAATTCAAGGACAAGCAAAATCAATTTGGTGATATAAAATCTCAATCCTTGATCTTCTTTTGTTGTTGAATTCCTCTTAGCCGTCTCTCTTGGTCTCCTCTCCAAAAGCCCTAAAACTGATTTTTGAATGGGTATTTATAGAGTTTAAGAAACCTTATTAAAAAAGAAGTAGGACTCGAAACAAAATAGGAAACAAGGATTTTGGATGCTGAACGCATAGTGCTGACACTTTGAATTACGTGTCGATACAGAACAAGAAACAGAATCTCTAATTCTAGTCGCTCGACGCATAGTGTCTACACCCCGATTATGTATCAACACTACACCCATGTCGAGTTTCTATTGCAATTTCTTCGATGGTAAAATTTCAAATCTGATCCTCCATGTTTTGTACAATGAGCACTGAGATCTTGAAACTTAAGCTTCATTCAATTAGGTCCCAAAGAAGCCTTTTTTTTCTTGCAGTTCAGTCCCTCAACTTCTAGAAGATGTTCAATTAATTTCAAAAACTCTCATTATTATGCATTCAAGTCCTTTTCTGCACAAAGAATGAAACCCATGTAAAATCTCATAAAATTCATCCAAATATTAATAATATCAAGGCAAAAATTCAACATTAATATGTATATAAATTTAACTCATCAATCCATCTAAAGGCAACAAAGAGGATCCTTTGTTATATAAAAGGTACTGTTGATTTCCAGTTGAATTATTTTGCCTCTAATGACTTTACTCTTAGAGGTTTCAGTGACAGTGATTGCGTCGGAGATGTTGATGATGGAAAGAGCACCACTGGATATGTGTTTTACATGGGTGCTACAGCTTTTACTTAGACCTTGAAAAAGTAGCCCATTATTACTTGATGCACTAAAATCACTCTAACAAATGTACTAGTCGCTCCAAGTAACATATAGATGAGAAGAGTGTTGAACCCACGAGGATTGTGTCTAATTAAGTACCAAAATAATCAATCTAAATTTATTTGAACAATCAAAAAAGGGAATAAACTTTAATAAAGAAGAAAATAGCAATTAAAATAAAGTTAATCAAGATATGAGGTACTAAGGTATCGACTTCACCATAATCAATCAATATAAATTCTAAATTACTAAATTGTTGAGTGTTATTGCATGTGATGACGGATTTCCCTAAATTAATTAACTAGTTTTCTCAAGTCAAGTTAATCCTTCACTTGTTTGTTAAATTAATCATATCTATATGTAATTTTAAACAAATTAATGGCTATTAAATTTTATGAAAACCTCTAGTTTAAGAAGGGGAGCTACTAACTCTCTTCTCTTCCTCCACTACCACATGTGAGCTAATTATCTTTAGGTCTCATAATCTAACACATGGTTTATATTATTATTGGTCTAATTTACGCAATTCTTTCTTAAGTTCATGCATAAATCACTAAATCAATTGAAAGATGATCAAGCTTTCAATGCATTAAATTCAATAATATAAACTCTTCATGCGAATAACTTTAATTGAAAGTATAAAATCATAAAATCTATATTGAATTCATTAGGTTACATCGTAACCTTAATAAAATAAATTAGTTCATAATAAAAATAATAAAATCTGAAATTATAGTTATAAACATTCAAATATCAAACAATAGATAAAAAGAAAAGCAAAACTTAATTTGAGGAAATTGAATTTCTTGATATTCTATTATTGATGAAACCTCTATTTTGATCTCCAATAATGCCCAAAAAAGGGCTGCCACCAGCCTCCTCAAGCTCCCTTAATTCTGAATTTGGATGAATATTTATAAGACTTTAGAAACCTTAATTGCAATAGAAATGGGATCTACACTCAAAATAATAAATTAGTGAAAATTGCATGCGGGGTCAACACCTTCAAAAAGGTGCCGACACTTCTGTTCAGTGCACAATGCCCTCACCGTGTCAGGTTTTGGTCCTTCTTAGCAATTTCTGTAGTGGTAAAATAACAGTCCTGGTCCCTAACTTTTGGATTCTGCATAATTTGATCCTCAAGTTTTTGATCTTTACATTTACTCCTAAAAATTATGATTTCTTTCAATTAAATCATTTCCTACACAAAGAATAAAAATTATGTAAAATTAAGTAAAATCTCATAAAACTCATCTAAATATTAATAATATTAAGGCAACAATTTCACATTAACATGTATATGAATTCAGCTCATCAAATTCCCCCAAACTTAAGTTTTGCTTGTCCTCGAGTAAAATAAAAAGACAAAAGAAACAAAAATAAAACCTAATTCACTTTTATATGAATCACAATTGCACTTAGCATGTGCAATGAGCCTTTAAACCCCTAGGTCACCCTAGTGGATGAGTTGTGTCTCATGAGGGTTTTCAATGGATCTACTCACAAAATCCCAATGCAAGAATGCAACTATATGATATGCATGCAAAGAAAATTTAAGAATTAAAATTCAATTAAATACAAAATCCCAAATATTCAAGAGTTTTCATATACTCACTTAAAGTCAAATACTCATCTTATTCTTCACACCACTTGTTAAAAGATTTAGCTCATGAGCACTTAGTGTGTGTGTGGAAATTCTTAGTAAGAAGTCGCAAGTTTAGACCTTTACACTTTAGCACTTATTATTATTTTTTTCTATTTTCCCCCTCTTTTTTTTTTTTTTTTTTTATGCCGAGTATCCTTAGGCTTTCTAAGTTACCCATGTAGCGAGCTTTTTACCAATGGCTGCCAAACCAGTTGGCTTTAGGCATTAGGTGAAGAGACACCCCTAAGAACATACTTACTTAAGTAACAAAGGTCATGAAACATTCGACTTCTCTTTCTTTCTTTCGTTTTTTTTTTTTTCAACCACACAACACATTCTTCCCTGAGTTATCACTTGTCTTTTGACGTAAATACTAACATTTTCTATGAAAGCACCCGATTACTCAACAAGTCATAAACTCAAAGTGCTTTACATACTCAAATTTCAAGTCATCGTTTGACGCGAAAGTTGACATGGGTCTCATGCCTAACCCCCAGTTACTAAGCAACTAGAAACATTGGAGTAGAAATTAATAAACTTTTTTGTGTATTAACTTCTTTTCTTTTTTTAATGTGCTTTTTAGGTGCTACTAAGTCTTCTCTCTAAACTTCTCATTACAAACTTGTGCTCAAGTAGAATATAATACTCATGAGCTTAAATTTCATCACAATGGTGTTATTTTTCAGATTTTGTATTTCCTCTAAGATTAAAAGATTTTAAAAGTTTTTGAATTTTCAACTAAAGAATATTTAATTTCTTGACACTAATTGGATCACCTCCTAAAAAAAAACCTAATTTCTAAAAAAGAAAAAAAATGTATGTTATGCAAATATGAATGCAAATTAACATAATAATGGATGCCTAAAAGTTATTCTCTCCCCCAAACTTAAATCAAACATTATTCTCAATGTAAAATAAAAGTAAGAGAAAAGAGAATCCTCCTAGGTTTTGCACTTGAAGACTTAAAATTTAAGTTCTGAAGTTGAGTTGTCTTCATTTAGAGGAGACTTCTAGCATGTGAATTTCCATAATCTTGTCCACCAAACTTGTTCAATGACCTGGCCAAAATCAAAGAACAACCATTTATGCATTAACCTGGGCTATAAAGAGAAAAAAAGAAAAATAAATAAATAATCTAAACTATTAAAATAAAAGACAAAGAAATGAAAGAAAAGAAAATTTTATGCTAAGGTTGCCTCCTAAGAAGCACTAATTTATAGTCAGTAGCTAGACTTTCTACCACTCCAAGGTGGTTTAAGATCAGGTCGTAGGGCATGTCCTCTCGTTTTCTTAAATTTTGGCTTTCTTGCCTTTAAGTTGAATCTATCATAAGATTTTCTCCAATGCCTATTCTGAGGTGGTTTGGGTTTAGACCAAGAGAAGTGCCTTCACAATTCTTCTAGGAGTGCCCCCTTTGATTCCAAGGAAGATGATGATGTGTTCAAGTAATTTATGTATTCTTTGATTGGGTCCTTTGCTTGAATAAGATAAATCTCAAATGGATCCTCGTAAGTGTTTTTTTGCAAAATCTAATCAAGTTCGATGATCAGATGGTAGACATCCTTACCAAGGCTCTCAAGTTCGATGATTTCAAGAAATTAAGAAGCTGTCTTGGAGTTAGAAAAAGTTGTGTTTAAGAGGGGTTGTTGAAAGGATAAACATGCCTTTAATACTCACTTCACGTATTTGGTAGGAGTAATATTTAATAATGTATCTAGAAAAATGGGATTATGTATACCAGTTAACTTGGGGGAAGAACTAGTGTTCATGATTTACCTATAAATGACTTTGTAAGTTCTCATTTTCAATGAAGTCAATTCAGAGAAATATTGTCTCCAAACCTTCCTCTCTTCCTTTGTAAAATCCTCCTAAATCCATTTATATCCAACAGAAAGCACATTCACATTTATGACCATCCCCACGAAAGCCCTGTGGGAATTGACAGCCGCTAAACTGGGTTTCCTGCCTTGTGTAAACAAGTGGTAAAGGTAAGGACAAATGAAGATGCACAGAAAACCAATTGCATAAGCGAAAGTTAATAGAAAAATCACTGAACTGAGCAAGCAGAATAGGTTAATCCATTTCTTGTTTCAGACCAGCAACCTCCACCATTAATTGTACACCTACGAGGTCCAAAAACTGAAAATGGAGGGGTAAAAGTGTTAGTGGCAATTCTGGGCAAAAACAATAATTTCTCAAGAAGAGAACTTGTTTCCAGACGTCAGTTGAGATTTTCAGGAGACAGAAAAGAGTGACAGATTAATGGTTTGCTGATCACTATTTTATTTTATTTTATTTTTAAAAAATAAGCCTACTAAAATTTAGCAACAACACCACTTACTTAAATTTGGAGCCATGGACGGATATTTTAATCTGCAATTATGATCACATGCAGAATATATATAGTGCATAACTGCATCTCATCAAGGCAACGGACTAAGTAGCTTTGATAAGTAGTAATCTCTTTCTAATATAAATAATAAATTTTAAATTTGAATAACATAATAAAGTGTGTTAAAAAATACAAAAAAAATCTTTTTTATTATGTAACCAAAGATTAAAAAAATGCATATAATCAACAAATTTGAAGTTCTTTTTTCTTTTAGTATTTAGAGTTAAGGTATTCTAAATGAGTTTTCACTTATTTCAAGATTAAACCTTTCTTTTCTTGTAACCTTAAAAGTGTATTTTATTTATTAAATAAATAATTAAAATAAACTATTTATATTTATTTATTTTTAAAAAAAATTAAAGAATAAATAAATACCCAAAACAAAATCCGTTGCAAGCAAAGTGGAAAGGACTTGATCTTCCTCTATCTGCCTCTCCTCTGTTAAAAAGAACAATCCAAACAAAAATATGGAGACACCTCACCCCTCTGTTCCACACTGGGCCGGGCCGGGCCGGGCCGGTCGGGAGACATAAGCTGGTCTTGGTTCCATACTTTGACTAAAAAAGTAATACGGTCTCGAGTCGATCTTGCAAGAGCCACAAGACATCCCCGGGACCTTCGCAACTCTTTGTATTTTTATTTTTGGTTAAATATCAATGTTAGCCTCCAACTTTAAATTTTGAGCATTTTTTACCTTAAATTATTTTATGTATTTTTTAGTCCTAAACTCTAAAAAATATATTTTTTTAATATTCACATACGTTAAATATGACATTGCCGTTAAATCACTCCAGATGGTGTTTTTATTTAATTTCTTTTAATAATAGGACAATTACATATAAGTAAAATTACTCAATTGGAAAAAAATTGTCCACCTAATAATACCACCTATTAAACCACAATTTTAGTAAGAGTTTTTTTAACATGCATTTTTTAAGTACATAGATTGAGGGTGGTCATTAAAAGCATTTTTTATTATAAATTTAGATAAAAATTATAAAAATTAATGTTAATTTTAATATCATTACTACAGTGGCAGAGTCAAGAATTTCAATTAAGAGGGTTGGTTTTTCAAATCTTAAAATAATATATTGTAATTTTAAAAACTTAATTTTATATCATAAATTAAAATAATACTCGATAATTTTTCATACCATGAAATCTATCTATAATAGAGTTTACACTAAATGACTAAACTATTTCCTTTTCAATATAAACAATCAAAGAGTTTGAAAGGAATTTATCCTCCGTTTTGTTACGAAGTCTCGTTTTCATAATTTTCATGGCAGAATATGCTTTTTCTATTGTTACTGTAAAAACTAGAAGAGTAAGCACCAAAAAAATTAACCTATAAATGAGACTATAAACCTCTAATTTTATTATCTACACAAGCCATTAACATAGTTCAGAAATATTTGACAAATTCTGAAAACCCTGATCATAATTTAAAACTTATATGGAGATAGTAATTGACAACATAAAACCTTTAAGTACTTAATTAGTTATCAAAATTTATAAAATAATATATTAGTATTTAGTAGTGGAACACTTAATTATCCGAGTTATTACTTATCTCTGATTTTCTAGTGGAAGAGATTCTCTACCTCCACACGTGAGGTTGACAAATATGAAATACAGCAATATCCTATCTCTTCACCCCACCACTTTCTATAATCAAACAATTTTTTTCATTTTTTATAAGTTAATTACACTTTATATTAATTTATCTTCCTTTTATACTAATTTATCTTCATATTACTTTTCTCTATATGACTATATCCAAGGTTTTTTCTTTGATTGAGTTCATATATGTTCCCTTTATGAATCTATACTTTCCTTCTTTTTTTTTTCAATTTTTTTTACTCTAATTCAATTCTATTCCATATAATTTCAATATAACTTCAATATTATTATAATATTCAATTTTATTTGTAATTTCAACGACTCTAAATCCTAAAAGGAAATTATACACTTTTTTGTGATAATAAAAAATCAATAAATTTCATTACTTAAATATTACTCCCTCCATACTAGAAGAATAGATTTTTTGTTTTATCTTCAAATGAATTATTTGAAAACAATTTCTATCTTTATATATTTTATACTTAAAAAATAATTAAGAATAAATAATTAAAGTTAAGAAATAATTATAGGGTTAAAGTAAAAAAAAAACTATTTATCTTCCTTATAATAAAAAAAAATGACTTATTCTTGGATAAATTTTAAATAAAAAAGGTCAATTATTCTAGGACAGAAAAAGTATATTAATTTTTTTTGTTAAAACATATTTACTAATAAGTATAAAACAAAATTTTAAAATAAAATTAAAAATTTACAAAACTTAAAAATTAAAATTTAATATGACAATATATGATTCATATAAAAAAAAATTAGTGTTGTTAAACTTTTACAGAAAAGTTAGTGGTTCCTTTGTCTTTTAAGTTTTCAATGACAAGAGAAATGTTGTAGTTGCTTGTGTCCAGCCGCCATAAAGTCTCTTTTTTCTCTTTTTTCTACTTTTTTTTTAAATTGTTAGATTGAGATTGATTGATTGAAAAAGATTGACACTTAGATAGTGGGGTTGAATAATGGATAAATAGTGTAGAAGACATAAAAATCTGTTTTTTTCTTTTCTTTTTTTTTTTTTTCTCTTTTCTACAGAATTTAGGTATAGGCCTTAATATGGGGTGGGTTTTAAATAATAATAAATAATTAAATTATTAAAATAAATAATAAATTATATAGATTATATTTGGATTCTTAAAACGACTCATTATTATTAGATTTTTTATTTTATATATTTTTCCAAATCCAAAAGGAGCCACCACCCTCAGATGTACTTGTGGCTAGGCTACTGCATTACTGTCTAAATAAATTTAATTAGATAATAACAAATTAAATGTCACTTTTATTTTTTTCAAAATTCTTTAACTACACTTTAAGATGCAAATTAAAAAAATTATTTTAATAAATTAAAATATCAAAATTTATAAAATTATGAAATTACCCCTATATATTTCTTCTTCCTCACAGTTTCTTCCCGACCCTCTTATTCTCTCTCCTGCTCCTCTTCCTTCTTCTCCCTCCCTTCCTCCATACTTCTGCCCCCATACTTTTTGCCCCTCATGCCTTTTGGGTTCAATGATCAAACCCAACGTTGGGTTTGATTCGATGGAACCCAGCAAGCTTAGGTTCCATCGAATGGATCTTAGATCTGGGTACAAATGGACCCAGATTTTGTAGATTTTCAGGAACAAATAAAGATTCTCTTGCTGTTTTTTGGGGGGTTGTTGTGATTTTGTTGATAAGAAAGGATGATAAAGATTAATAATTAATTGGTAGAGAATGCAGTGCTTTTTCCTTCAACTGATTGTTTGATTGATGAAAAATGGTGATGAAGAATGACACCAGGGGAGCCACGCCGGAGACTGGAATAGAAAGAAAAAAAACATATTTATTTAAATAAAGAATTTTAATTTTATTTAATTTAAAGAGCAGTGCAAGACTGCTAGGGGCACTCGCCTCTTGCACTCTCCGGTCAACACTTCCCCTTTCATTGGGCCACTGCAACCTCTGACAAACGAAAATAACGTGGCCCAATAAAATTGAAAGTGTTGGCCGGAGAGTGCAAAAGGCGAGTGCCCCTGGCATTGCTCTAATTTAAAAACAACTTTTTATACAATTTTTTATATAACCTTTTTTTTATCTTATCAAATAATTAAATGTATTTAATATTTTAAATTTTAAATAAATTAAAAATATTAATTACTTAAATAATATATAAAATTATATTTAAAAAATATAGAAAAATATTCTAAATTATTTTTGGATTTTATTAATCCACCTGAGTTAGTTTGCTGACTCGTCTCGTCATTGCCAAGTCAACAAAAAGTGTCAACTTTGACCTTAACGATTTAAACCAACGGAAGTACCAAAAAACCGCAATTTTTTTGAGTCGAGGACTAAAAAAGTCCTAAAAATAGTTTAAGGATAAAAACTGTTCAAAATTTAAAGTTGGGGATTAAAATTGGCATTTAACCTTTATTTTCTGACTTTTCTCTCTTTAGTATAAAATCAATCCTTTTGACTTTATATTCGCTAAACAGCAGCCGAATCGGAGAGTCTTGGCCACAGCTAGCGTTCATGTCGAACTCGGGACAACCGGGCGGATTCTTCGGAGAAAATGTAGGGGATGTAGATTTACCGTCATATATGAACTCTGGAACTGACTGTAAGTCTTCCGTTGCTTTTAATTCCTTCAAATGATTCAAGTTGTTTCATCTTTTGTGTTTATGCAGAAATGATTGATGAATAATGAGTGATGTTATGGTTTCCCCTGATGTTGTTTATGTGAAAGAATTTTTTTTTTTTTTTTGGGTTTTCTTGATGATTCAACTTTTCGTGCCTAAACCCATTGTCTATATTAGTGCTAAAGTACTTCTCCATAAGCTAATGATCCAACACCAAGAAGAAGATAAAGATCTGAACAAATTACAAGATAAGAATTAGCTAAATTTTATAACATGATTTCATTAATTTGTACCGTGAATTTCTAAACTTTTTGCAGGTGATCCAATGGACACCTTCGATGTGTCTCTCTAGGTTGTCTCCCCACCGAATCCAACCATGGAGACGGTATTTAACAGCCATCAACATCGTCAACCAGCTGGAACGAATCATCAAATTAGTTCCTCGGGGCAGCCAAGTTCAGATCAAACCAATATCAATGTTCAAACAACTCATATCCCGAAATGACTGCAGAGCAGCGGGCTAGGAGAAACGAAATCAACAGACAAAGCAGGAAAAAAAAGAAGGTATCAAACTATATATCACCTTTAACTTTTTATTGATTTTTTCATTGTCATTTAATATTTGCATGCTATTTAGTAAATACTAGATAAGATAGTTGAGGTGTTCTTTTTATTTCTGGATAGTTATTTGTTTATTTTTTGATACATCATCACTATACAAGAGGGGATAGTTCTCCATATTCTTATATTTCTCCTCACTCGAGAATATGAAATCTTCAAGTTAAGAGTCTCAAGTTCTTAACTAATTTTGAGCCACCATTGTAGGCATTTTTGGATAGTTATTTACGTTGTATTTTATCCTTCATCATTTCAGAATGAGGTGATAGAAATGAAAGATAAATTGAAGAAACATGAAGATGAGATGAAGAATTTAAGGATAGAGAATGCAGAATTGGAACATGCCAAGGTTTCAATGGGGGAAGAGTTGCAGGCTCTAACAGCTGTGAAAGATAAGCTGGAAAGCGATCTTGAAGAATTTAAGCAAGAAAGGGATAAGCTAAATGCTTTTCTCCAAGAGCTATTAGTAAGTCACTTTGTTCCAAAACTCACTTTGGTATAACCATTTGTCTTTCCCTGTTTGTGTAATATATATAGAATTTTTTTTTTTCCAAATTGTGCATATATTTGACTTTCATGTGTCTAATCTATCTTTTTGTGTCTAACAATTGCAGAAAGATAAGGATTTTAAGTTCATAAAAGGGGGGGACAAACATGATATGAACCCAACACAAGATCATTCTCCTTCAGATGAAAAAGGCCACTCAGAAAAAGAAATTTCAGCTGGAAACTTAGATGGTGGTGACTCTGAAGATGACAATGATTCTAAAAAGAAAACGAAGCGTGCGGCCTGTTCAGCTTCAAGTGAAGGTCGTTCTGGCAAGGTTCCTAAGTTTGCGTGTTATGATGCCAGAGCTGATCAGAGACATGGATCTACAAGTGATCATATTGCCATGGTCAGGGATCCCTACTCCATCGCTGAATGCCTTCGTATTTTAAAAACCATGGGAGACATACCGTATCCTATCGTAAAGAAAGCAACAGCTAAATTTAAGTCACAAGATGAGAGGGAGACTTTTGTTGGACTAACTGCAGATTGGAAAAGGGAGTGGGTGAAAGATTTAGAGAATGATGCTTGAAGAAATTTTTCTAGTTATATTTAAAATTTAAGAAGGAACAGTTTTTTTTTTTTTTTTGGATATTGGGAACTTTGTTTTGTTTGAACTAAACTTTATTGTGCTTGAACTATTTGTGTTTTCTTCTTTTCATTAATTTTTAGACAATGATATTATTAATTACAGTATGTATACTCCTGTGATGACTTTGAATTTTTTTTGGGTACAGTAATTGATTTATATTTGTTCGCTGGTTAGGTATTAGTAATATATTTAATTTCAGAATATATATGAAAGAATAATAAAATTAGTTAAAACAAAAAAAGAATAAAAAAATCGAGGTTAATGCATTTTCTCCCTTCTTTTTTTATTTTTTCTAGATGTTCTAAAGATAAGTTATGCATTAGAAAATAGTTGTTTTCTCGAACGTCAAACCCTGCCTCTCTTTGCACATGTGGTGTATAATGATAAGTCCTTTCTCAAACCTCTTCATACGGTCTTAAGATTTAAATATGAGAATTTCAATATAGAAACTTAGATTTGTAAACACTAAACTGTCTACTGAAGATCGTTTTCATACTCCCCGAAGAGTTTTCTTTGTATATATACAAAAGCTCAAACTTACTGAATGGAAGGAAGGAAAACTTTTTTCTAGAGATGACAAATGGAAAATGTTTTCCTGAATATATTTTTCTGGCCATGTTTTTTGAACTAAACACGCACGAGTAAGTGGGTTTTTGTTCAGAGCACACAGATAGGCAGTGTTCAACAAGATTTCAAACAACCATCAATTTTAAACATCCCTTACTCTTTACTTCTCTTTCACTTTCCTTATTTCTTAACTGCAACATGATACAGTATTCTTCCTTCTATAGTTCTATCTGTGTTTATATAATAACATCTCAACTATCTTATCTAGTATCCACAAGGAGAAAAAAAAAGGAGGGTTCTGTAAGTATACAGATAAGTATAGCTGGTCCTTATAGATCACTATGGCAGGAATCAGACCTCGTTCAGGCTCAGTGTTCTGTATCGCATCCAACATATAATTGCAATCTAACCATACTTTGGCACCCTTAAGCACTGAAGCTAGACCTTTGGCACCCTTTACTTTCAGCTTTCACCCTGCAAATAACACAGGGAGTCACTTCTGGTAACAATTAGGCAGAGACTTAAAGGTAATCATTGTGACAAATGGCTAGTTACCTTATACAGTTGAGGTCTGCCGTAAAGGCTGAGTGTCACTTCGAACTTCTTTGGCATACTGATTGTCAATTGGCATGTACTGTGACATGATAGCCATGATCTCCGAGTCCATGTAAGACTGCAAGCAGAATCATGTTTACCATAAGTATATTTTTACTCATCAAATAAACAATTACACTAAGATGGTTAGTCAGTCTATGCAACATGGTCTAGACATACCCGGAGCCTGTATTTGTAAAATATATAACCAGCTAGGCCAGCACCCACCACAACTACTATTACAATGAAGGTGAGGAACCATCCGAATCTTGATCCACTGCGTTCTGTCAGATGAAATGCATGACAACAGATGTAAGGAAATGGCATTTTACATATAAATTAGAACTCAAATTCTAACTGTATATTGATTATAAATGTAAGCAATGAAGTTTCTTGTTGTCCTACCAATACAAACATCTTGTTCCTTTATATAGAGACGATTGGCCTTACACTTGCACTCATACCCGCCCCAAGTGTTGTTACAGGAGCAACCGTCACACTGACAGGCAATACCTTCCTTGCATTCATTGATATCTGAAGAAATTAAAGTCAGTGGATACAAAGAAAGCATTTCAAATATTAATGACTGTATTAAACTGCTTTTCAGTAGTGACACTGGAAGAAGAAAGCACCTTCACATGTATGACCATCCCCATGAAAGCCCTGTGGGCATTCACAGCCCATTGACCGTGTTTCCTGCTTTGTGTAAACAGGTAGTTAAGGTAAGGAGTAATGAAGATGTACAGAAAACCAATTGTAAAAGTGAAAGTTAAGAGAAAAATCACTGAACTGAGCAAGCAGAGAAGGTTAATCCACTTTTTTTGTCAGACCAGCAGCCTCCATTATTAATTGTACACCTACCAGGTCCACAAGCTGAAAATGGAAGAGTAAAAGTTTAAGTGGCAATTGTGGGCAAAAAACAATAATTTTTCAAAATGAAAACTTGCTTCCAGATGTCAGTTAAGATTTTCAGGAGATTGAAAAGAGTGGCAGATTAATGGTTTGCTGAACAGTTGTAGGATTAAGAAATTTTCGCAGCTTGTAGAGGTGGATGCCCTCATTTCAAAGCCAGTATGTTTGCTAAGCCTGAAAGGAAATAGAAGCTATGTTCGGTAAGTAAATTTTGTAGGTTAATGGTGCACCTTCACATGATACATAACCATCTCCTCTGTACTGAACACCCATCACAGTAGGGCACTCACACACTCTTCCCCTAAATGTGTCCTGAAATACCAGCATCTCTTTGTTAATAATCAGTAATTCATGGCATGCAACTAAAATTCAATTATTGATATAGAAAAGTTCCCCTAAATGGTGTTACCTTGCAAGCTGTTATATTTGCATTTGTGTCGTGCCAACAGCCACCATTCCTCTCAAGGCACTCATTAGTCTCGATGTCTACCAAAATAAAAATGACACAATTGAATAAAAGATGCAAAGAACTTCTTCATTATTATGAAATTAAAGACCGGAAAAGGGACAGGCGGATCAACCTCCACTCAAACAAATTGCAGGTTCTGTAGTCTCCTTGAATCCAGCACATAAGGCCTTAAGCACGGCTGTTCTCTCCAATTTCCCTTCACAAAAAGCATATCAAGAACTTCAACATCCTGATTTGATATGTTGTTTTAAATAGTTGTATTTGTAGGAAAATGAGGATGGCTAGAAAAATTAAGACTTCATGAGAGTAAGACTGGACTACTAAATTCATTAAGACTTCACATACAGTTATTGAATGCTTGTCACACTCCTGCTGACACAGAAAGATGATTGGCACAGTAATGTAACAGAAGGAAGGAAAATGGGAGGGGGGTAAAGAAAGGAAGTTAAAGGAGGAAATAATCACTGAGGAAAGAAAACATAGGAAAAAAATAGCAGGAGCAGTACTGTGAAGAATTACAGATCTCAGTCTACAACTAGCTATGAAAATGGTAGTTATTACAAACCTCGATATTGAACGTTATTAATAATCAGCGTTGGCAAAATGGCAACATCTCCACGTGATCCTCGGCCAGACTAAAAATATCAGGCATTGTAACAAAAAAGAAGAGTTAATATGATACTTCCTTAAGGATCATTCCTATGTACTCATAGACTATTCATATTGGGAGACATTTGTTATGTTCTATGTAGATTTTAAATGATATTTTAGAATCATATAAGGGGAGAAGAAATAAACATACAAACCTGAAGTTCTTGCTTCTTTTTAAGGACTTCATTCTCTCTGTTTGCTTCAGGATCACCCATGCAGTTTTTGATTTTCTCAATAGGCAAATCTGGTTAATCAAATGGGAATTAACCAAGAGAAAACAGAAACAGATATGGTAAACACGAAAATCTCATTAGCTTCACTTACCAAGTGATTTCATGACATCCTCAGCACATTCTTTGCTGTACCTCTTGTTCTTCATAGAACACCTAATGTGAAAATCTGTCACATAATCCCACCAGACCCAGGACCTGTTGCTCTCATTGGCAACTCTATGCACACGAAGCTGCCTCACGTTCTCAAGCAACACATCTTTTCCTTGATATCCTGTGTCAAAATCTAGCTCTGGATCTGGGGCACAATATCTCCCCTTGTTTATGCACTGGGACGTACACTGTCTGCTAGAAATAAAAGGCTCAGGGCAATACCAAGTTATGTAATGTGGTGTGAACAAAGTGTAACCCCCCTTTTCAAGAATCTGAGCATGGCCTTTGAAGTTCTTTATAAAATTCATCTGCTCATCACAACGAATCCCACACTCATCATTGCTGTTTGTCCAGAACTCATATTCAACTCTCTGGTCAGGATGTGGCATTGACTCTCTCCAGTCCAACCTTATCACCACATCTTCACCTTTATTCAAGGCTTGCTTTAGGCTGTCACCAAAGGACTTTTTTATCAAAGCTGATGGAATGTTGATCTTCTCCACATATTTTTCTGCATCAGTGCTTTCCTTGGGAGAATCCATTGTAACTAGATGTTCATCTATGCCATCAGCCACCAATACTGCTGCAGCTCCAGCCTGTTGAGCATTCCACACCTTCAAGGCAAAGTAACATTCTGCACAGTGCACACAGTAATCAGGACATACCTGGTGATGTAGTCTAGGCAACAGAAGGATTGATCCCTCAACATTGGATTTTATTTGTTCTATAAATTAAGTTCATAAATGGGATTTGTTTCTTCATAATTTCTTTTTCGAATATGAAGATCTTAAAGTACATAAGCCTAACTACAATTTCAAGACGACAAAGAACATAAAATCTAATTTTTTTTTTTTTTTTCTGTTTTGGATAATTCTAAATTGTATCAATGGCAAGTGCTCCTCCTCACTCCAGGGAAAATGGGAAATCACTGTATCAGACTAAGTCAAGAAGCAAAATTAACATCTCTACTGGTTACCAGAAGGAAAAGCAGATTATATCATGATCAATTTATCAAATTGAAAGGAAACTAATTCTACCTATCAAATCCCTCCAGGTAACAATCACAAAAAATAAATAAAATGAAAAAGAAAAAAGAAAAATAAAGTTTATCAGACTCAGAGACATGGACTTAATATTATGGAGGAAACCAGTGGAATTATAGAAAATTAGTTAAGGGATTCAGGAAAAGCTGTAGAGACAGCATCTATAATTAATTTCCAAGGAGAAACATGAAGAGAATTGCATAGAAAAATACCTCCACGATCAAGAAGGAGAATAGTAGGATTCTTAGATTTAGACTTGAAGGGATCAGCAAAGGGTTCACAACCATTGGCACCCTTGGCTGGATACACCACTGATCCCAGCATGAACCCTCCATACTCAGGTACTCCAAAGTTGCCAATAGCACCAACATGCTTGGATCGCATATCCAATGGATATAGCACAGATATGCTATTCTTCTCCACTACAAACCTTGCAAACACAGAATTCAAAGCAAAAATACTAAACAAAAGGCAGAAGGGTGCTAGCTTCCTGCATGGGATCATATTGAAGAACACAAACATAGCCTAAAGTTGCAGAGTTTCCTTTGTTAGAAAAGAAGAATGGGATGAGGCCTTTTGATGGGTTTAAGTTTATAAATGCAAATATAACGTAATACAAACGCCAGAGAAAAAAGAAGGAAGGTGATGGAGAAAGTTATCAGCACTATCACTATTTAATTAGTTGTTTAATATTCAACTACTACTACGCTTCACATGCATTTGATTAGTTTAAGAGGAAAGTGATTTCTGTTTTTAGGTTTGATTCGGTCAAGTTCGCCTTATCAGCATTCCGAACGAAACTTCCTGTAAGGGCTGTAGCTATATAGATTTGATGTTCTGCCAATTAGAGGCAAAGAAAATGCATTTTCTTGTAAGAGTCTTGGTCAATTCCACATAAATACATGGACATAGTTGATGTGGAAAAAGCAGTAACGGGAAATGCACGTTCGAGTGTGTTACGGACTAAGGATCATTGAAGTCAAGAATTTACAGGTCAACCCCCATAATGCTGCGTATGAGATACATCAATCTATAGATACGTTTGGCCAACCACGTTGCAGCCCAGTGATAGGAATTTAGTGGTGTAGCATGTACGTCGTGACCAAGTCTGCTCACTGTTTTTAATCCCATTTCTTCTTAGATTGTAGTTGTAATGCAACATAATTGCTCTTGTTCAAACACAAAAATCTATACCTACATTTAATCATATATTATCTCATATATGAATCAAGCTACAACTTCATTGCTCAGATCAACCATGGATTGTTCATTTTAACATATCATTTTATTACTTCTTTTTTTTTTTTTATTGGTATGGCCTTAGTTGACCTCGATTGTCCTTTAATTACTATACACACTTCCCTTTTAGTTTTACAGAAGTGTAATATTTTTATGATGTAGACATTTTACATATTCAACATAGTTTGTTGACTGAACCTAACTACACGGTAGAATCCCATCATCCTTCCCAATTTTTTTTTTTTGCCAAACTAAACAATGCTTTTATGGGAACTTCTAATTGTTGGAACAAGTCAAAATTTGTTTATTCTTTTGACTTAGTCAACAACAACACTTCGGGTAGAATCCGAAGATCTATATACTTCTTAATCAACAGGCCTTCACATATTGCTCTTGTGGAGAACAATTTTCTGGGGAAAATTCCGACTTACCATTCGCTTGCCAAATTGTCCAAGAGTCATTTCTACTTCACAAAAATACCTTATTTTTGTAGTTGGACTAAGAAATAACCTGTGCATTCCAACCAAAAAGGCCTAGTCAAAACCATTCTTGTTCTAGTAGTTGGCAACTTCTTGTAGTTAGCAACAAGGAATCTTCCCATAATATGTAGTCCATACATTCTGTCTGATAAGATTTTCTCAAGAGAAATCAGCCAATGCTACTGCATAATAAGAAAAATTCTCATTTGTTTTGTCATTCATCACTAAGCCATACAGGCTTTAAGCTTACAAAGCTATTCTTTGGACTAATTCATCAATGGCAAAATTGCTGATACAAAACACAACAACGCAAACTAAGGAAAAATGCAGCATGAATTATAACTACTTCAGGAAGATGGATGGACTTAAAGATTGCGTTTCCCCCTGATCTTGCCCTTACCATGGCGCTTCTTTTTCCCTAACTTGAACTTCTTTTTCAACTTCTTCCCTATCGGCTTCAAGGAGTCCTTTCTTTGAATGCCTTCCTCCATCTCCACATCTACAAAGGGATCAAATCATAACCAAGATCAGTACACTTTGAAAAAATTCAATGCAAACAAAATGTGTGCTCTGGCGAACAGAATCCTAGGGCCTGTTTGGTACACATATGTCCCAAAATATTTTTCCCTAGAACCCAAGCCATTTTGTACTACTTCATCCCAGAAAAAAAATCCAGGTGACAAACGGAAGTAACCCCTCATGTTGCTTTATAAGTTGTTAAAACTTAAAAGGACTGGATACACTTTCTTGATAAAAAAAAAAATGGCATAAAAGTGTCTTTCCAAGGTAAAGTAATCACTTATCAGAACAATAAGCAATTATATCCATTTTTCTCCAGAATAATCAACTACAATAAATTTATAACCTGTAATAATTGTTACTGGTTTTTGTGCTCACAACCTTAAAATCCTAAGCCAGCTTCTAAGAAAAAATATTCCTAGACATTGTGTACCAAACAGGTACATAGCTTTTAACAACATTGACTAATTTACATACAAGATCAGAATCAGATGCAGTTGCATGCTTTCCACTATCAACCATAAATCATCTACAATACTCTAATATGATCGTCCTCAAAAGTAATAAACATAATTCTTGACAGGCAAAAAGCACGTAAATCCAAAGCACAAGGAGTTAACTAACAAAATCATCAAAATCAAGAATTGGGCAGTCCTTTTTGCAATAACAGATAGAGGATAGGGCTGAGAATTGAAAAAGAGAATCTATACCCATATTGTTGGTCGGAGATGTTGATGTTGCACCGGTACTAGAGGGTGTTACTACTTCCATAGACGTGGAGGCAGGAGCACGAACGGGGAGCTTAGGGGCGGCGAGGGCAGCTTCCAGAGCGGCGAGTTTGGCTTCATCTTTCTTCTGGTAGAAAGGCTCCACTATCTCCCTCCTTATTGCTCGCAGCCGCTTCTCTCGCTTAGATCGCATAGATTTCGCCATTGTTCTTTGTTAGGGTTTGAGTGTTCACGGAGAAAAGAGGCTTTCACGAAGTTGCGCCTTCAATTTGTGTTTATACTTTATAGCGTGAGGCTTTTGAGTTTGGGCCTGTTTGGTTATCTGAATGGCTTAATCCAGAGTAGGATAAGACTTGTCTACCTCTTCTCTTCCCTTTTTTTTTTTTTTTTAAAGGCTTGTCACCCTATTGAATTGTTTATAAGTTTGAATTTATTTGAACTCGGTTGTAAAGGAAATTCTGAATCAAGAATATACAGGAGTTAGTATTTATCCACTTTATCTCTTAAAAATTAGAAAGACAAAAATTAAGAAAAAAAAAAACAAAAATCACCCTAATGCATACTTTAAAAATATGGTAGTTTAGTCTTTTTTTTAATAAAAAGTTATTGAAACGACGTAGTTTTAGGATGATTTTCCTCCTAATTTTTAAGAGATAAGGTTGACAGGTACTTTTTTCTTTATATAAAATAAATCATAAAAAATTTTATTAACTAATGAAAGTTGTTAAATTTATGAACTTATAAAAGCAAATATTTAATTTAAAAGTAAGGGGTTTGGAGATCTAGCATTTAACCCATTAAAAGTAAATTGAAAACAGCCTTTAGAAATTTAGATGACATTTTAATAAAATTAGTTTTTTGTTTTTCTATATGCAATTTTAAATAAAATTATAATTTATGTAACTTCAACTTTTATGGTAAAAAATATTCTTTTAAAAACTAGTTAAACAAAACTTTATCATTATAAAATATTAAAATAGCACAAAAATATAAAATTATAATGTAATGAAAGAAGGAGCTTGTAGAGTAATTTATCAAACTATTGATAAAAAGACACTTTTTCATTTATATAAATCATAGTTCAAACACTCATTTTCCCATCACCTTTTTTCCATAAAAGATTTTTTAGGTAGTTGGCCAATCCAAAATGAAAAAAAATATTATGTAATGAAATTTTACAAAAGCGAGTTAATTGTGACTAATAGATAATCATGTGCGTACATTTTCCAAATTGAAAAAAATGAAATCTAGTATGGTATTGAAACAATTTTGGGATTTTATTAACTCATGTCTAATGAACTTTTTTTTCCTTTTCTTCCTTGACAAGAATGAAAATTCAACCACCCAATTCTTTGCATGCCTTCATCTTGAGACTAAGAAAAACACTTAAACTTGATGCCTTGTCTATGAACTCCAGAGTCAAACAAGAGAACTAAATCCGGAGGAATAATATATGAACATGCAACATGCAACATCCAAAGTGACAAACAGAAAATCCAGATACTCTTGAGGAAACTTCGATTGTCGAAGAATAAGAGGAATTTAATATGGATTTAATCTATGGTTCAGCAACAGAGGTCTAAAATGAGATCATTTTGGTTGAAAGAAAGGCTGCACAACGGGCAGATCTCTCAATTCCACCCCTCAAGGATAAAGACAAATGTGCTTAAAAAAAAAAAAGTATCTATAAATTGTCTATTTAAATTATTAATCAAAACAAATCACCTATTAGTTAACATATGACGTTATCATAAGATATAAATCTATTTATCACCTAAATATTTTTTAACAAAAACTTGATGTGTGACAATATCACATATTAAATAATAAATAATTTACCTTGATTATCAATCAAAATAAATCACCTATCCGTTAACATATGACATTATCACAAGATATAAATCCATTTATCACCTAAACATTTTTTAACAAAAACTTGACGTGTTACGATATCACACATTAAATAATAAGTGATTTATCTTGATTGATAATTTAAAAGAACAATTTGTCACCAATAACCTAAATAACTCAATAGTCATCTCCTTCCGTTGGAAGTAAAAAGTCCTGAGTTCAAGTCGCATGGTATGCGAGTGGGATGAGATAAGAAATAAGAGATAGGAGATAGGAGATAGGAGATAAGAGATATGAGATAGGAGATAGGAGATAGTTGTCTCTTATTGTGCAATCAAGATTAAAAAAAAAAAAACAATTTGTCATACTTTTTTTTTGGGTAGAAATGTTATTGCCCTCCTATTTGAGTGCCAGATTTTGGGGTTTTGTTAGTTGCACGGCTACCACCTCTGCACCCAGCATCTATCATTCCATATCCAAGTTCTAGAGGAAGCCTCAGTATGCGTTTCCCCCAAAAATTTTGTGTGAGTAAAGAAATGAAAATAGTCCATCTTTGTTTAAGGCATGGGGAAAGAGCTTGTTACTTACTCGAGCATACTCATACCAGCAAGCATGGGAGGGACTCCATCTTCACCCCAAAATAACTTGATCACAGCCTTTGATGACCTGTGGACTGTATTGAAAGCGGTTTTGAACACTGTTTTTAACAATTTCACCGTTCAAATAACAAATCATAGGTTAGACTTTCTGTGATTCAAGAGAAATGTTTGTTTGTGCTTTTATTTTTTTACAAGGACTACATTTATACAAGTTCTTAACCAAATTCCTAGAGGAAGTGCAGCAGAAAGTGCTACTTCCACAGAAAAATTCTTCTTAAAGCAGCATCCAGACGACCAGGCATTGCATTTTGCACCTTTTAATAGATCTTATTATAGAATATAATCTTTTCAACCTAATTCTGATGTGCGGCTACTCTGCCAAAAGCTCACAGAATCAGAAACCACCAAACCATCATGAATGTAATTTTGATTCTTGGTTTTTCAATATATAACCCTACAAGCCACACCAGTTGCCACTGACTTTCTGTTTAAGAGACACATTTCAATTCTTCTAAGGCCTAAGCAATAAAACAAGTATCTTCAATGTGGATATATATATTGTTGTTGAGTCTACAATGGCAACCAAAAACCAGTCTTGAGTTGTAAAATCTTATCATGATGCTGGATTACAACAGTGTTCAAGATTACCCTTATCAGCTGCCCTTTTGTATCTTGAGGACCAGTCCCTACAGTAAGCCCAAAGTAGCTGCTTGTTAAAAAATAAGCTCCCACCATCCAGACTGCTTGTTAAACTCCAAATACCCACTTGAGCAAAGATTAATTACTTCCCATCATCAATAAAACTAAAGCCTCTTGCCTTCCTCACACCTTGATTGACCATTAACTTTTGCACCGTCCCACTTGTCATTTGAAATGTGTAAATCAGTTAAGATAGATCCCATGGTAACTTGATCACGTTTTAACCCCTCATTTGACATGAAACAAGCCCACCCAAAATCCTATTTCCCATTAATCACATAGGCTGCTGCAATCATTGCAGACCACGAGTCACCATTCCTCAAAGGCATGGCATCAAAAACCTGACGGGCACTATTTGTTTCCCTAGACTAAGTAAACCCAGTTGACATGAAATACCAAGAAACAGTGTTCTGTTCCACTCAGGAATTTCGTCGAACAGCCTACACGCATCATCCATTGAAACAACCACTCAGCGATGGAACAGAGACAGGTGGTGATGGCGAATGATGTTGAGGCTGTGCAAAGAGATGCAAGATTAGAGCGTAAAGCTTCAGTTCCAAGAACGAAGAAGCAGGGTCCGACATGGAGACATTGACTAGAGACGGCTCAAGAATGATGGGCTTTGGCGGGCTCTTTTTCCTTTTTTCCTTTTACGAATTTAGTTCTGGGCCTTAAAGCCCCTGGTCCAGTTATAATTTTTAAGACCACTTGGGCTGCTTCCTTCCCAGTCCCAGAAAAATCTGAATCTCTTGCAAATATTTTTATCACGAAATGATTTTTTTTCTTTTTAAATATTTTTGTCATAGGTCGGCTCGAACCGTTGCCCTGGGAGGGGATATGAACATTTACAAACGTGATTAGAGCTATTTGGCCCGAAGGGTCAAGTTCTATCACGAAATGTTTTTTTTTTTTTTTTTTTTAAATATTTTTGTCATGGGTTCGACTCAAATCGTTGCCCTGGAGAGAAAGATATGAACTTTTATAAACGTGACTAGAACCACTTAGTCCGAAAGGACAGGTTCTATCACGAAATGTTTTTATCGTTATAATACAGTGAAATGTTATAAATTTATAATATGATATATTATTATATAATTAATTTTTATTTAAATATTTATTTATAATATTATATATATTTATTTAATATTATATTATAATTATAAATTTATAATTTTATATAATATTTTAACTATTCCTCCCCTGTTTGAAAAAAGTCAAAAGAAGTATAGTGTAGATTCTTCTTGCAAACAATTATTGAGCGCATCGTATCCTCAGTAATGCGTTGACTGGCGGTAAAACTATTTATCACATATTTAGGTTTTTTTTTTTTTTGGCCAAATCATCACATATTTAGGTTCAAACTTTAAATTTTTACATTAAAAAGAAAAGAAAAATTGAGTCTAACAATAAGACAATAATCAAATTTAAGATGTAAAGTAAAACACAATGAATATATCTTGCCAATGTAAGGGTGCTCTCTTAAAATATTTATTTTGTTTATTTTTAATAGATTTAATTTAATTTTTT